AATCGAACAGATCATACATGAAAAATTTCATGCTTTCTATTAAATAGATATGTGATCTAATTGATCCACACCTGATCAAAACTCGTAATGACGTAGGTAACACATTATTGTGAGATTTTCACTCAACAGTCTACAAAATCGCAGCACGTGTTCTACTACAGATTAGCTTCTTCAGGCGTGTTCCCACTAATTGAATTCTACCTAGGTAGAATTCAAGTATTACTTTATTGTGGGGTTTTTCACTAAACACTTCAGAAAACCGCAACATGTGTTTAACTATACAGGGTGGGGCAGCGAAAACGAAACAGATCGAATATCTTCAAAACACATGTGTTCTGAAAAAAAATGCAAAAACACGTCGATTTGTAATCCAAGAGGAACATCCACCACTTGGTGACTATCACCCAAACAATTTGAATAGGGAAAGTAGTAAGTGTGACACATCTTTAAAAAGGTAATTTCATAAGGAATTCAGCCATGTCAATTTTAGCTACCTAACTTTCGATTTTAGCGCCTTCTTGCCAATACCATTAATGGACCAATAATACGATCGCCAAATATTCCAGCCCAAACATTAAATTTTTGTGGGGATTGCGTATGTACTTGGTGAAACACTCTTGGATTGCAATCTGACCGGTACCGACAATTATATCGATTGACAATCCCATTGAGATAAAAACTGCATTCATCCGAAAAACAAATATTGAAAACATGATTTCACAAAATTGTATTCGACGATCAAAGTCGTCTTCGTTAAGTTCCTGAACCAGTTTAATTTTGTATGGATGGAATTTGTGAGCTTTCAAAATTCGCCCGACGGTACGTCGATAATTCGGCAAGCTTTCGTGTACCAAGAGTTGGATCTGCAGCAACCTGTCCTAAAACTGCTACCTCCACTGCTTCGTTTCTTACTGGGTTTTCAATTTGACGTGTTTTATTTTCCACAGATCCCGTTTGTCGACATGAAATTATAAAACGAAACAGTTGTTTTTCCTGCAACAGAGCGCCAAAATGAAAAGTTAAGTAGCGAACACTCACATGGCTGAATTCCTTATGGAATTACCTTTTCAATGCTGTGTCACACTTAGTACTTTCCCTAATCAAATTGTATGAGTGACCAAGGAGTGGGGAGAGAAGTATGACAGTTGAGATAACAATAGAATTTGTCCCCCGTGGATTTAAAATTGACGTGTTTTTTTTGCATTATGTTCACAACACATGTGTTTTGAAGAATTCGTTTTCGATGTCGGGTTAAATCGAACCATAATTACAAATTTCGTCCGCCATTTTGGAGCCACCATCTTGATTTTTTGCATTGAAAAACAATTAATAATTACCGACCCTGAAAACCACCACTTAGCAATTTTGAATCAAATCGGACCATAATTGCAAATCTTGTCCGCCATTGTGAAACCGCCATCTTGTTTTTTCCCCTAGAAAAACTCCATAATGCACTGTCACCAAATTTATGTCAAATTAGCTTGCGAATGAAGTATCATAATTTAGAATACGGAACAGTTTTTTTTCCCGCAAGAAGCCGCCAAAATCGAAAGTTAGGTAGCTAAAATTGGCATGGCTGAATTCCTTATGAAATTACCTTCTTAACGATGTGTCACACTTACTACTTTCCCTATTCAAATTGTTTGGGTGATAGTCACCGAGGGATGGGGGAAGAGGTATGACAGTCGAGGTTATGATAGGAAGATGTCCCCCTTGGATTTAAAATCGACGTGTTTTTGCATTTTTTTCAGAACACATGTGTTTTGAAGATATTCGATCTGTTTCGTTATCGGTGCCTCACTCTGTATAATAGCTTATTCACCTCTACCTAGGTACTCGTAGAATTTAGTTCGTAGGAACACGCCTCGTTGGAATTGAATATTTGGGTGACTACCTCAGACACAAATGGCAGAAGCAGAAATAACTGTTTGAAAACATGCTTCGAGTGTTGGAGAGACAGAAATATATGGACAATTGCAAACTCATTTGGAATGCTATTCTCGTCTATCGCCGATTTTGCATATTTTTTTTTTTAGAAAAATCAGTGGATTCTGATAGCTTTGCCTCTAAGCTGGCTGTGCCGTATCGAAATCCTTCACTTCTTTGAAATTTTGAATTGGCAATAATTTTAGGACCCTTCATTACCCTATTGAACAACATTCTGTTCTTCGTTTAAATAAAATACTTACGTATCAGAAAGATTCTTCAGGTGTGGGAGAGACAGAAATACATCAACAATTTTAGACTCATTTTGAGCTCCTATTCTCCTCTAATATCACTGATTTTTCATATGCTGTTATTATTTTTTCATTTAACGACGTTGTATACCGACCACTTCTCAAAATGATACGCTTTTGACTGACTTAGTGAAAAAAAGAACCGTCCTATCTTTTGAGCTGTCTGAAGGGGTGAAAATAAGATGGGAATATTGAAAAAAATCGTAACATGAAAAATCAACTTCTTACACTGATCAACTGAGATATGTTATTCATGATGATCGATTCAACAAAAAAACATTCACGACATCGTTCCAGTGTCCTGGAATCCAAATGGAATAACGAGACAAGTGTGCTGTTGTCAGCAAAGCAATATATTAGATTCTTCGTTCATTCCAATAGAGAGTTGGAGACAATATGGATCACTGTGGAACACTAGCGCTGACGGTAAAATTATTCCGGAGATATCCATCGATGGCCACTTGCAGGAAACGTTTTGTCAGGAAGCTGGAGAGCCATACACAAAAATAATCCGACAAGCCATAGCATCGAAGTTTGGCCAGCAAACCCTCATGCCACACACGGTCAAAGGCCTTAGAAATATCAAGCGCAACAGCTCTTGACTCTCCATGCTTCTCGATTGCGTTAATCCAAATATGGGTGACATACGATGGAAGGTCAAAATAATAAGTGGATAAATGTTTTTCTTCTTCTGTGGTTATCATATCTAAGTATATATTATGATATCTAAGTAGAGTATGAAATTAGCCTAAAATTATGGCCTGAAAATAGATGTAAAAATGCAAAAAGTACACCTCTCAGACGACCTGTAAAACTCGGACGTTTCATTCAATTCTGAGCTTATTTCACTAAGCCAATCAGTATTATATTATATATATTAAAACTGAAATATGTACAAAGTTTTTATAATAAATGATAATTTAATATCATAGGAGCTTAAGCGTACTTGTTAAGATAGCAAAACCCAATGATCTGAAAACATTTACTTCTACAGTCTTTCAAAGAAGGCTGTTTGATGTATTCCCAAATATCAAAGGGGTGTTGACATTTTATTATCAAGCTTTTAATATTACTGGTTTAATGGCTTCATGTATAGGTAGACTAAGTATTTCAGAATTTATTTTTTGAAACTTCTACTCTGATTATACAAAAAGTAGGACATTCTTCCTCTAGTACTAATAGTAATGTACTACTCCTGCTCTTAATAAACATACATAACTAGGTTTTTCAAAGCAATATAAAATAGCTGTAGTTTTGGGTTATTCTCATTCAGTGAATGTATCACATGAAACAATGGATACATTTATATTCAAATATACTGCAAAGGAACCGGTTGGCTTATTCATTCAGCGGATCCAGTCTGCTTAGGATTCTGAGCCAAGACTTCCTCATACCACAGATAGAAAATGAAAAGAATTTATTTCCTCATGCCTCTGAAGCTTCGAATAACAAAACGATTGTAAAGGAATACAAAACAATGTAGGTACTAAAGTATAGGTAATCAATTAATCTTACTTCAGTTTTGTTAACAATTTGAATGTTTCTCAACTGAACTCTTGGAGGTCGCTTCTCATCATTCCAGGAAGATGCTTCTATATTTGGAGAAGTATCGCTATTTCCACAAAAAGCTCCCCAAGGCGAAGGAGCATTTTGTTGAGTTCTCAAGGGCGGTAAGATATACAACATATTCAGGGCACAGCACTAGGTACAATCAGATAAACGTTGCTATAAAACAAAAGCACATTCTTGAAGTTTACTGAATTAGTTAAGTGCAGGAATATAGTTCAGATTCAATATAGCATCCATATTGAAGTGTGTGATTCAAGTTATGGGCAAATAAAAACGAGAATTTTACACGACACAAATAATCACGGAAAGCTCAGGTATACCCTCCCCGTAAAACTTCCGAATGAAAACTGACTTAAAACAGCTGCGTGCACCAACACCAACACTGATGTTTGTAATCAATACACCAACCATACAGAGCTAAATTTCCCCGTAACTATTACCTCCTAATTATTTGCTTCTGAATAAGGATCATTTTCAACATTTTACACCAATATCGATTTACAAATTAAAAAAAAATAAAAGTACTTCTAGGAAGGAGTATACCTATGAATAATTCGAGACAAACATATAAAATACGTACCAATCAAAAATTCCAATTACTATCTGATTAGTGATTATAACTTTTGTCGTGTTTACACGGATAATACTTAAAGTTTGATTACGGTTTGGTGAAAATTGAAAGAAGTTGAGGTTATGCATAAAATTTTCTCTGATACACAATACTTTTTTGAACCTGACAATACTGTCTTGTTAATTTGACAACATTTTGAAACAATGCATTTACGTTCATATTTTTTTCCTTGAGCTATAATGGACCATCACTTTTTATTCTGGTTTAATTGTCTATCTCCTTAGTACCTACATTACTACTTACATGATTCGGTGAATTATTGGAACTAGGACTCCGTTGTACTCTAACTAATGCCATTTTGTAACGTCACCAGTCTTGATTGAACACTTTTTTTTTAAACACTCGAAATAATTTCACAAACAATTCATAAAACACAACATTATTTTTGACAATAAAGGAATGTTTTGGTTTCTTTACAAAAGACTTTCCTTATGAAGTCACACTCAATACTTTCCTTTTCAACCAATCAAGACATTTTCGGGATAATTGTTCAGTTCCACCAATGAAAATCTATTTATGGTAAAAATCATTTCAGAGTACTCGGCGCCATCTATAGATGTCTACAATAACTACTTTATCAGTCCCTAACCTCACAAAAACATTGCAAGTTAGGAAATTTGTTAGATGAAAAAGTAGATCATGAGTAAAATATTCACCCCTACAAATCAAATTCGATTGACGAATGTTGCGGTAGTACGAATAAAAAAGGCCGGAAAGAGATTCGAAATAGCCTGCTATCGAAATAAAGTTATATCATGGAGAAACCAAGTGTAAGTAGAGCAAAACATTGCAACTATTTTGTTTATTTGATTTAGTTCATATTGTAATCTGCACCTTTGATCCACAGAGAAAAGGATATTGACGAAGTTTTGCAAACACATACTGTATTTACCAATGTTTCGAAAGGACAGGTTGCAAAAAAAGATGATTTAATCAAAGCATTTGGAAATGATGAACACACTGAAATATGTAAAGAAATTTTGGCTAAAGGTGAATTGCAGGTGTCTGACAAAGAACGACAAAGTCAAACAGATCAACTTTTCAAAGATATTGCAACAACTGTAGCTGATAAATGTCTAAACCCTGAAAATAAACGACCATATCCAGTCTCCATCATAGAGAAAGCAATGAAAGACATACATTATTCAGTAAAGCCAAACCAGTCCGCCAAACAACAAGCTTTACAAGTAATGAAACTTCTCCAAGAATCGATTCCCATTGAAAGAGCAAAAATGAGACTCAAAGTTAGTTTCAAGGGTAAGACAGCAAAAAAAATTAGAGAAAACTTCTTGAAAATTGAGAGTTTGGAGATAGAAAATGAAGAAAAAGAAGAAGATGAAATTACTATTGTATTTTTGGTAGAGCCAGGATATTTCAAAGAGATTGAATCGATGGTTAAAGTAGAAAGTAAAGGTTCAGCTTTTCTAGAAGTAGTGTCCTATAAAGAAATGATGTTAGGTGATGAACATTTTTAAATGATGAATTATCACTTGACTTTTCGTTTATATTTTTCATGACCATTTTACTAGAAGTATATTTTGAAAATAAACACATTTTAATTATTCATTTAATTACATAACGAATAACATTCATCAGTTCCTTACATGATATATACACTCTAAAACACGTTTTTTTGCTAACAATGATTGGAAATTGGCCAGTTATTTTTCTCTCAAAAGGCATAATACCCTAAAAAAATTAATTGTTAAAAAACTTATAAGTAAAATGCAATACTTGAAGCAATTTATCAACTTATCTAGCTCCCCTATCAAGGGTGTGAAGAGAATAAAAATGAAATAATTTCAAACTAACTCTATTCCCTTCAACATTATTTTTGATTTACTAATGAAAGCTCACATACAACTTTTACAAGCAAACAATCTGACGCAATTACTTGATAGAAAATATATTTACTGAGCTTGAATTTTTTCATCCGGTTTGGGGATATATATACTTTCTACACGCTGATCTTGTTTGGCAGCTACCCGGGAAATTGTAAATAGAAAATCTGACAAACGATTGAGGTAAATTTGTGCCTCCTTATCCAAAGTACCTTGTCTCACCAGCGGTACTATTATTCTCTCAGTTTTACGACATATAGCTCTAGCCACATGCAATGATGCACTGGCTACTCCTCCCCCCTGAAAAAATAAATATTTTGGATGAGCTACATAGCCAGCTTGATAAATCTTTAAAAAACTCTCAGCAGATATCTATTTCATTACCACCACTTTTGTGGTGATAATGAAAATCTTTTGATAAAAAAAACCTGTGAAAAATCATCTTTTTCACTTCTATTATCTAATTTAATAAACATTCAGAAATAGTAGAATTTAGTAACTGCAACTCATGCTCTCAACCCGGTTTGTATCATTGGAAAAACAAAACTGGAAAACTAGTAAGGCCTGTGACTTGTTTTTTATTTTATTATTTTCAGATTTACAAGTGAATTTGTGATGTTTTTTAAGATATGTAAATTATCGCTCGGAGCAGCTTAATTGTATCAATTTGAAAATCTATTACATATATGATGGAATCGGCCGATACTTGATGAAAATCCATAACTAACGTATTCTAAAAACATTTTATTGATCTCACAATAAAGTGTTTTTAGTGTTTTTAGAATACGTTAATCTATTACATATTTTATTACCTGGTAAAAGTTTAGTTGATAAGAATTTGGTGGGTACAGTTCAATTATGTTCCTTATAATTGATATTCTAACTATTTTTGGAATATCAACACAGTGCTGATGACACAAGTGTCTGATCCTCAAACTTCAAATTACACCATTAAGAGTTATAGTGTTCTATGTAAGTGAAATTTTATATCAATCTTTCATTACGTTCTGTAGCGTTCCTGTAAATTATATTTGTTTCAATGTTCATATGAAAGTAATTATTTCGAAAGACATCTTTTTTTTGTAATTCCATGTTCATGTGGAAGCAGCTGTATCAAAAGGGTTTTTCTCTCAGTTTGCATATGAAAAAAACTTTGGTATTTCAATTAATTTGAAACCTTTGCCTCCTGGCAAAAGTAAGTGACTGAGTCAAGAGCCCTAAATAAAAAATAACATAAAATAAAAAGATGAATTAATGATAAGTTCATCAATATTCCATTAAATCTCAACTTGTGGTCAGTAAATAATACTGCATTTCATTTTTGTTAATGATAGATTTTTGGGCTCAAACTTCAAATATAGTAAACATTGAATTTAGTGATAATAATTACACAATTTCACAAATATTTCAATTTTTAGGCACGACTCGCTATAGAGTAGCTTCCTTGATAGAAATGAATATCACACACTGGGCTACAATGAATATTAGCAAAAAGGTTTGGTCGTTCAGTAGGGAACCTGAACGTATTCCAGTATTTTTTACCCTAATGAATGACCAACAGGAAATGGTCCACTCACCATTGTTGAACCTTTTTTGATAATACCATATTCAAAATTTACTTCATGTCTAAAAAGTAAGAGTGTGATTGGTTTACAAATTCTACCTAATAACCACTAAACTTAGGAACCAATTATTATTGTATATAAGAACTGTAGCCTAGTGTAATATTCATTTCTACCGAGGAAGCTACTGCGTTAGCAAAACGGATCTAGAAATTGAAATGTCTGTGAAAACTGTGTAGGTATGGATTATGTTTTATAAACTCGTGAATCAAAAATTACATGCTTACTGCTTATTGAATGATAAACATCCCTCTTACTACTTACTGGTATTATATATTGCTCTGGTGCAGGTAACTGTTTAGAATACTCATGAATCCAGTCTTCTAGTTCTTTAGTATATGCTAGAGGTATAGTTGATTTGTTAGATCGGGAAATTGCCGTACTAATATCAATTATTATTGTCTGAATTCGTTTGAGTTTATCTGTGTATTCATGTTCTGATTGTTGACCATGTTCCCTTGCTAACCTACAAAAACATTTGAGGAATTAAAAGTACCTCTTTGTTTTTACTAGAAGTATTCACCCTAAATAACTTAAAAGTTCTTCTGTTGCTCCAATAGCATTGAATATTTGACTGTCTTTGGGTAATACATCTCCGTTAATGATTTTTGAAGTTCCATCGTCTCCAAGTCTACTGAATGTGTCTGGTTTTGTTTTAAAGGAATCAATGTTTGGAGATTTGGAACTAAAACAAATATATCAGTCTAAAAAATAAATAATCTCCTGTAACATACTCTGTTTTTCTTCCACAATAGTTCCTAAGTTGATTAAAATGGCGAGGGTGGAAAAATCTTCTAAATACCATATTTGAACAAATTGATTTTTCAAAACAAAATTAACCTTTAATTTAAAATTGTTAAAAACAAACAGTGGAAAATTAGAAATGACAGGTTAAAATTATTATGATCGTGTTCCGTTTCCCTGAAAAGTTACTATTTGCTATCCCGTTGTTCCGGTTAGGGGCGTGACCAGTAAAGTCTGGTTAGTAAATGCACATGTTTGTAACCTGTGGCACAGTAGAATGCTAAACTATAGTGTGTATGTGGTAACGGGCCGCTGAAAAAAATTGGTAACTCATCTGTAAACGCAGTGACCGAACAAATAGCATTGAAATGTCAACTGCTAGTTAAGTATGATAAAACCTCCTGAAGTATGTTCAGTTACGGGACAGATGTTATTTGCCACCAGAGCTCCGATCCAAAAACAAGGTCACTACAGTTGGAGTTTGGCTCCCATAATTGGGAGAGATAAAAACTTAACTCACTATTTGAGTTAAGATTTTCGAAACTAATCTAATGTGGAGAATGAATTTGATGATTTTTAACAAGTTTGTTAATATCAGGCTGGAATTTACTCAAAAACAGTCACCACGTTCGATAGTCTGCAAGCGACTTCTCTTTTTAGTTAGCAACGTTGCCACAGCACTAAATCCACGTTCACACAAATACGATGATGGGAATGCTATCAAAAATCATTGAACGATGGACCACAATCCAGGGTACAATTGCGGGATTGGCTTTTGTAGCCAAAATTCTTGATATCCGTTTTTGAAAATTTATTTTTATTTTCTCGTTCGTTATCAGTTCTATGAGTTCTTCTTCCAGATGGGGTGATTCAGCTGTGTTGACATTTGAAAAAGGATCCAACACCCAGTCCGGTATTTTCAATTTTGAAATGTCTTGGAATTGTTCTGCGAAATCACTGTGGAGGTTCTTCAAATGTTGGCAGTAAACAAGCAACTCGTAGTTGTGGAAGCATAGTGCTGAAAAATTAGGAGATATTGTAGGAAGTTCGGAGTCCGTCGTCGTCTTGCTTAGAAGCCGCTGAAAAAAGTTTTGACACAGTTCGCTGAGCTGAGCGTTTCTTTTCCAATTTTTGAAAATAAGTCACACTTTCATCTTTTTCATCTGAATGTATTTTATTCAATTGATCTTGTAGCTTTGAGGGTTTTATCGCTTCATTCGAAAATGTTTTTTGACAAAGAAGGCACATAGGCGAAGATGGATTTGTGGGATTTTCAATAAATACATAATTATGTCTTCATAATTATGTATTTCATAATTTTGTCTTCAAAATGCCGAAGTGAAGAATCGAGTATCAACTTACTAATGACATCACTCATAATATTCACCACCGCACGTACAGCATTTTACCTAGCTATTCGCGGGCGGGCCTAGTACTTTCGAGAATGGAAACTAGAAACTTCTCGCTTCGCATTGAAACTTACCGCCATCTATTTTACAGTTTGACAACTATCGGACGCGAAATAGTTACTGTCTAGTCCTCTAGATGCCGTTACACGAGAAAACGCGCTTTAAACGTAAAGAAGCGGTAAAGTTCGTGTTAAAAGCAAAAAAACATTTTTAAATTACCCATCGCCCTTCTAATTCAATAAACATGAACTGATTTTAGTTGAAAACAGTATACAACGTACGGGTAAAATATTAGCGGAAAAATTCAATGCTCACCTTACGAAGCCGGTATCGGAAAATTTCTCGATAACAGATTTCTTGAGAATAACATCCCACTCAATTCCTCCACTTTTTTTATGTCTCCCATCACTGAGAGGGAATTGATACAGTTAATGAATAGACTGAAAAACACAAATGCATGCGGAACAGACCAATTATCAAACAGGTTGATTAAATGTTGCTCCTCTGAACTATGTACTGTACTCACCTTTCTAAAAAATCTATCAACAGAAAAAGGCATTTTCCAAATAATTATCCCCTAAAAAAGGGGATAAAAATGATTTGAATAACTACAGAGCAATTAGTATTCTTTCTAGCATTTCCAAACTATATGAAATGAATCTAAAAGAGCAGCTGAATGGTTATTTTACTGCGATGAAATTATTATCACCATCTATCTCAACATGGTTTCACGACTAACAAAAGCACTGATACAGCTCTTTGCGACTTTCATAGTCGCATAATAACGGCCTTGGACAAAAAAATATGTGCTAGGATTGTTTATTGACTTTTCACGTGCGTTTGATTGTGTTAATCACAGCCTCTTGCTGGAAAAACTCTCGAGATATGGGGTGACAGGACTGCCACTTAATTTATCGACCTCCTATTTTAAAAATAGGAGACAAATAATGAAAATTGGGGAGAATATAAATTCTGAAAAACACATTGCTGATGGTGTGCCTCAGAGATCCATTTTGGGACCTTTTCTGTATTTATAGTATTTGCAAACGATCTATTAGTGTATCTAAATGGAAATTCTGCCACTCACGGTATATGTTACGCTGATGACACGAATATACTGGTTATTTTGAAGATGACCTAAACACTGTTATAAATATAGCTAAAAGCACTTTCAGTAGAGTTATCGCTTGGTGTGAAAAAAACAACTTGATAATGAATAAAGCAAAAACTAGTATATTGCAATTCTTGGTACGACGACAACACCATGAGGTGAGTCTATACAAGAATACCAAATTACCATTGGATCCCACAACAACTAAATTGTTAGGAGTTACTTTTGATAACAATTTGCAATGGAAGCCACAAGTAGATAATTTGTGTAAAAAGCTCAGAAATTCCTGTTATTCTCTCAGGTATCTCTCCACTCACTGCAGCCAAGAGATTCTACTTACGCCTTAATATGCGAATTTTAATTCTCACCTCAGGTATGGAATACTGAACTGGGGCACAAGCTCCTCTGTGGATCGAGTGTTCATGCTCTCCTGCAGAGAGTCCTGCAGGGGAGTATTTCAGAAGTTAACAGGAATATACATACTTGAGGCATGTACATATGTATACCGCAANAGTTCAGAAAGTGAATCGAGCTGCTAAACAAGAAATTCAAATAGTGGATATAAATTAAGCGTTAGTGGCTAAGTGTTGTAATAAATAAATTAGTTTGTGATTAGTGAAATATTGTTGGAAATAAATTTGTTTAAAACAGTTAATTTATTAATTTGTCACAATTTGTGATCAGAAGATCCCGAAACATATTTATTCGAAGTTTCTGGGGGTAATTTGAGTTCAATAATGAAGATGAGAATACCAAATCGCTGAAAGATGAACTTCAACTTCCAGAAGCTTCTCTTGAGCAAAAAGATGGGCTGACGTAAGCGCGCCACGTGACTGGGTGGTCTGTCTCGTTGACGGGTTATCTGTTTGAATTATTTATGTCCACAGAAAATTCAAATCTCCCGATGACGTCACTGTCTCGCTGACCCGACGTAACTCCTACTGCTTGCACTGACAAGCGCCCTGGAGTTTGAGGCTGCAAAACAATCCTGCAAGAGCAAGAGCAAGGCTCTGTTGCTCGAGAGAAAAGATGCTGGAACTGTGGGAAAATTGGGCATGTGCGTAGCAAATGAGAAAATTGGACAAGAAATCGCACTGGGGAAAACCCTGTTGCATGTTGACAAAGTTCTGCCGGTCAGCGTTATGAATGTCAACTACTTTCCCGTGACCTTGAAGAAAGTAACAATGCTGGGGCACTGTTCGTACATTCCTCTGTGATACGGAGTGTACGCAGTCCGGTTAGCCAAGCCAACAACTTGCCTAAAGTGTTGGAGAAGTTGATTGACATTTCCTCCAAATACATATCACCAACTCACCGATCCAAATTGAGGGAGTTAGTCAAGAAGTACCGGGAAATCTTCGATACTGGAGATGAAAAAGGCGGCAGAACGAATGTGCTTCAGCACAAAATTGACACTGGGAATGCCCGATCAATCCGGCAGTCAGCTAGAAGACTCACTCTTGCCAAGAAAGAAGAGGCAGAAAAGATAGTCAGCGATAAGGGAAAAAAAGGAATCATCGAACCTTCTGACAGCCCCTGGTCTTCCCCAGTCGTATTAGTGAAGAAGAAGGACGGCTCGACAAGGTTCTGCATGGATTAGCACCAACTATACCACTATATCCTCTTCCAACAATTCACGACACCCTAGAGACGATGGCCGCCTCCACAATTTTCTCGACATTGGATTTGAAGAGTGGATATTGGCAAGTAGAATTGGCCCCAGAAGCTCGAGAAAAGACAGCTTTCACCATCGGCTCAGGATTGTGGCAGTTCACGGTAATGCCATTCGGACTTTATAATGCTCCAGCGACCTTCGAGAGATTGATGGAGACGATTCTCAAAGAGTTCTCATGGAAAACGTGTTTAGTGTATCTTGACGATATAATCGTGGTAGGAAAATTGTTCAACGATCATTTGAAAAATCTGGAAGAGGTATTCATGCGTCTGAGAAGTTCTGGATTGAAACTCAGTCCCAAGAAATGCTATCTGTTCCATTACCTTGGCCACATTGTCTCTGGGGAAGGAGTGGCGGTAGACGAACAAAAGCGAAGCAGTCAAGGATTGGCACATTCCAAAAGACATACATCAGCTTCGGAGCTTCGTTGGTTTATCTGTTTTTAAAAAAATCTGTTTTTCCGTTAATCAGCACATACTATGAAGATGTCTGGAGGAGTCTTACCAGACTGAGGGACACGATGCTCGACCAAAATGTTGTGGAGCATTGTGAGAAGCATGTTGGAAATGATATTCAGATCCAGCAGCATCAAGATTTTGGTGTGCGGTAACCATCTTCCACCCCGTGGGTTGGGCTACCTATCGGGCGCGTCCCCAGGTGGCGGATAGGGGAACGGCCAGGGGACTGGAGGTCCTATCCGGGAAGCCAATGTGGCCTAACGGACGGGGTTGACGGACTCCTGGTCAGTGGCAGAAATAAGTAGGGTGAGGGGAACTAAAACTCCCCAAAAGCCCTGCAAAACATGCCACCGCGGACCAGCCTACCCAAGCTAAGATGTAAGGAATCGTGTCGACAGCTGAATGGC